TATGAAAGAAAGAACTTCTGCTTCAGCCTTTCTCCTACAAGTTTCATCAGGTCCAATTTCTTGTATCGCAGGATCTGATATTTTTTCTGTATTTTAGCTTGTCTACCACTTCCATACTATTCTAAGTTTTAAATACATTCTCCTCAGCCTTCTTTTCCAACTGCATAGTTTCAGTCTTTTAAATCTTTCCTCACAAGGCAGCAGTTTGAGCCCTTCATCCCTTCTCTGCACTTCTCTATCTGTCATACTCTTCTTGAAAAGCAAGGTTCAGAACTGCACAGTAACCAAGATATGAGCTTATTTGGCAGGGAAATTATGCCCTCCCTTTTGCTCCCAGTATTTTTCTATTTACTGTTTTTTTCACTGTTTTGGGCTGTGACTGCACAGTCAGCCAGTGGTTTCAGAGGGCTGCCAATGACCGCTCTAGTATTTCTTTCCTAAGCTGTAGCTGCAAGTTCTGAACTCAGCTTTAGGCATGTTTTAGACTATTTTTCCCCTAAATATATTGTTTTAGACTAATTTTTTTTCTATCACCTTCTCACCTCTTATTTGATTTTATGAGGCCCGTCTTTCATTTCTCACCATGGTGCATCATTTGACCACTTGAATTCCTTAAACTTGAGCATGTCAATGTTCACTTCTCTTTTTTCAGCCTCTTGATAAAAAAGCAGTATGAAGTCATTCTCAGGACCAGTCCTGGGGGACCGCACTGATGGCCCCTCTCTTTCCTGAAGTGTCCATGAACCTCTGTCCTTCACTTCCAATCCTCTAACCAGCTCTCAGTCCTGAAGTGCGGATCTCCTCTAATATCATGGCAATTTAGTTCCTTAAAACCCATGGGTTAAAACCCACATTCCACATGACATCCTTTAGCAACACATTTACTGATGAAAAATTCCAGCAAGATGATGAGGCAGGATTTAGTTTCGCAGAACCTGGGTTGACTCTCTCTCAACTGTCCTTATGCAGATGCTCCCTGAACTCAGGCTTTACCACCCTACCAGAGATGGAAGTCAGTCTCATTGAATTAGACATCTGCAGCTCCCAGGGCCTGTTTTGCAAACTGCAATTACAGTGACAATCTGCTGGGTCTCTATTTGCAATAACAGGTTATACATCTTGACCAGAATTAACAACTTCACTTCTGACTTCCTTCAGATGCGCTCAGATAATGCCACCTGCCCAGGTGGACTCAGAAACACCCAAATCATGTATACAGCCTAGTAATTCCTGTATATTTGCTTCAAATTCAGTCAGCTGATCCAAACATCCTACATGAATCTCCCCACCTTCTTCAGCACTAAGGGTTAACCCAGAAAAATTACCTGAGTTTCCTTTGCTATGACCTTCCTATGCCTTGGTGCTGTTCTTACACTGCCACCATAAAGCAACCCCACCAGGTCCTTATCTGGCTTCTTGTTTTGGCACCTATAAAGAACTCTGTGCTGCAAGCTAGAGAATTCTTCAAAAGGTCTTTTTATATTTTCAACTTTCCTGTAAACATCTGAACTACCATTTTTATGGATTGTCCTATTCTTCTCATTTGGGCTTCCCATTAAAATGAGACTCTTTCTTTGTGATAGTCTCCTTACCTTTCCAGTCAGGGGGCTTGGACTGCTATACGCTCTTGCATTTTGGTACATATTTTATCTATCCTTTTAGTACCTTATTTAATGGTCTCCAGGCTGCTTGTAGGTTTCTTGTGATTTTGGCCTGCTCCTCCTAAGCTATTTAAAAATTTAGTTAATTTTAAATAGTTCCATTTCCCTAAACTGAATCTCTATGTACTAGACTTCTTTGGCTTGCTCTCTCATGCTACAGCTGTAGATCTAATTGTATTATAGCCACTAACAGGTGGCAGCTCTGACATTTTCACCTCTTGAGCCACGTCCTGCTCTTTTCAAAGGCCCAATAAGTATTAGGGAGGTTAAGCTTGTTCGGTCAGTTCTATACGGGTGCTCTTCTACAAGAATCAGCATTTCCCAAGTATCTACTTAAAGTATTTTCCATAATGCTTCTAATTTTTATTCAATAGCCTGGGTCTATTATGAAAAGGTGCAATCTGCTTTAGGTTGCTCCAGTCCCAGATCCACTTGCAAATGAATTTGGATTATTTTTGGCTGTACCATTATTCACGCTGAGACTGAGTCTCTGCCTCTCAGGCCTCACATGAAATTGGCAGTATTTCAAATAAAGTTACATGCAAGTTACATACATTCAATTTCCTGTCTAGACTGAATTTAACCAGAAGAAGTTCCCTTCTACACCTTTCTACATCACTGATATCAACAGCACAGGCCATAACTGACAGCTCCTTTCCAGTGCACTCACGTAATCTCTCTACATCACCCTGCAAGATTTGCTAACTTTGCAGATGTAAAACAAATTGCTTTACATGCGTGTCTCCTTGGCTGCCATAAACATAGTTTCCTACGTACCTAATAATTAAATATTCCTACATTTTATGATCTCCCGGGCTGCATAACTATCCTTGATGCAAGATCATACAGTGCATAACTACTCTTGATAGGTGTTTCTTATATAAGGTATTAGCTGATCATTGGAATGCTCTCCCAGGATTTACCTACTCTGTGGTACCAGAGAGCTTGTGACAGTGGAGATCCTTGCAGTCTTATCCATTTACCTGTCTCTTTATTACTCCCTTCTGTTCTAATCTCTATCCTCTATTTCTTTCACATCACATGTTATGAGATGTAGAGTACCTCTAGCGAAATATTGCATAGACACACATTTTATTTTTTCACTTTAATCAGTTCAGTTGCATATATCTTCATACACAGAAATATGTATCTTCAAGCAACGGAAATGATCAAATATATGTACATGTATGCATTCCTTTTTAATAAATGAATGGCAAATGTTTATCTAGAGGAAAAAAAAATCACAGAGCACAAGCCTAGCATTATTACCCAGATGTGAACAGTACATGTGAAGCCTTGCTGACTGCTGCAGGTTGCATAGGCATGATATACGTGCCTGAGTGATCACTTGAAGGCACTGTTTTTGCCCTTAAAATTATGATATCTGCAGTATAAGCTGGGAAGCACAGTACATACAAATAGAAAGAATATCAAAAAAAAAAAAAAACCTTCTGGAGACTTATCTGTCAAATATGTATGTATATTGTTTCTTCCTATGAATTTCCAATCTATGCATTTTCAAACACCTTGGTATGAAACATGGTTACATTTTGAATATGATTTTATGCAGTTGTCTACAGGTCATTTCATCTCTCATTCTCTCATAAGGGAGGAAAGTGTAAAACATCAATGTTGCCAGAGAAAATATTACCCAGGGGTATTCTGCTGTAGTATTGGCAACAGCAGATAATCATACAGATCTGCAATATTATATCATGATGCACATTCTGTTGATTTAAAATACTTATTTTCTGGGTTTTCCTTTCTCTAAAGAAGTTGGAGGATAATGTTCCTGGTAGATTTACTCCTTGTGTGAGACTGTCATGCATTTCCAAGAGAGAAGATATACAGTACACTTCCTTTTCATAACATGAGGCATCTTTTAGCTCTCTAGTACTTTTAGTTGTAAATCAAAAGTTGGGCATGGCCTCTACATGCAGATGTTAGAAAGGAGCTTTCACAGCACACTGGTACTTTTTCCTGACAATTCAGAGAGACAACACTAGAAGTCAAAAAGAGGCAGACTTCAAGCCAGACCTTACCATGAAACCAAACTCATGTAAAGAACCAAACCGCAAGATGTGAAATGTCTCTCTTGTAAAACATTTCACATAGTATCTGAAATAATCTAAGAAGTCTGAACCAATCCCATGCTGCCCTCAAATGTAGCCAATTTTCTATGAGGTCTTGACTGTTATGCCAGACACAGCCATCTTCTAAGAACTCGTTTGCCCACCACTGGAATCTTCATCACACAAACTCAAATATCCAACATCCCTTCCTATGGTAACACAAAAAATATCTTGAATCTAAGAGAAGGGAGTAGGAAGTTTAATTCTGTACGCCACAGTTCCATCCCACAGAATTCCACTATTACCTGAAACATAAAATTTTAGGCATGCCTATTTTCAGTGAAGAATAGTGCACTCTGAGGTTTGCTATTCAAATACAAAATTGAGCTCCAGCAAATGGGGCTAGGAGAGTAAATGAGGTAGTTATATTATCCACGCTAAATTGAAGGATAAATGATTTTAGGGGATGTTGCCTTCGTTTTCTGTGGATTTTCAGAATTTTCACTCACAGAGCACTTTTAAAGATCTTCAGCATTTGCTCAATGCTATTCCAATGCAATTTCATATTAGTAAAATATAATGAGCTTTCCAGAACATATCTGAAACAAATGAATTTCTGTAAAGCGTTTTCAATAAACTTAAACATGCAGAAGTTACTTAAATAAAACATGAGTTTCAAGTGGCATATTACCCTTTCCCCTATAATTAAAGTTCAAAGACATACATTAATATTTATCTCACATCTTGAGCTGGTCCATCCTGAATCACAGGAGCACTGAAATCCATCAACAAGATCTATACATCTGAAATACAAAACAGCAAAATTCAGATGATGTTATAACTTTTGAATTTAGCACTACTTGTATCATTTACTACATTTGTCAAATAGTGTTTTGATGTAATTACTGAAATTCACTTTTTTTTAATTAGCTTTTATTACAGATTTCAGAGGTGTGTATTATAGATACTGGGAGGTTTTATGAGGATACGAATTTTCGCATTAAAAGAAACCTTCCAATTTCTATGTGTTGGTGAATAGTAGCTAAAGAATCGCTTTTTAGTATATTAAAGTCTAATTAATTCACATTTACTGAAAACTGCTTTATGCTAATGAACGCAAATGCAAGAGGAACTGAGATAACAGTATGTTACATTAGCTTAAACAGGCAACATCTGTCATCTTTAACTGTGCTAATACTTTTACTTTATGGAAGAATATAATTAAAACTACATTCATCAACCTTCCCGTGTCATTAAATCTTAAATATTACTTGTTAAGTACATTATCTTGGAGATAATAACAGTTAAATAAAAATAGCCACCTTCCATGAAGACAAGGATCTGGCAAGCACTCATTAACATCTATCTCGCACTCTGTCCCAGCAAAGCCTCTCTTACAGTGACACTTATAGGAAGCGATGTCATCGATGCAACTTCCATCGTGGAGGCAAGGAGCAGATAAACACTCATCTATATTTACTTCACATCTCTCACCTGTGCAACAAAGCAATTACAAGTAAGCTTTAAAGTTTCACTCAAGCTGTTTAAAAGTTTATCTATTCCTATTGAAATCTCCAGATAATCTGTTTTTATTTACTTACATTCTTCATATAATTCACTATATTCATCTATAAGAATATCCCACTGGAATTCTCTATACATACAAACACCAAAGTATGGGCTTACTGCAATATATCACATTGAGAACTTTTGCAAATGTAGCAAGGCAAGAAGGGACCTGCCTGTGAGGGTCAACTTGGAAGCAAAATGGCTGAACAGAAAATGCACATTCAAGAGGACATTTTTCTATATACGGTTATTAGAAAGATGAATAGCATAGTTTTCCTGCCAGAGGAAAATGATTTATGTCTTAGTGCTGGACTAACTGTAATACTTATGTTCTCAAGCTGAATCTTAAATGCAGGGACTTTAAGTAAATGATTCCAGACAGATAATGCTTTGAATTCTTTATGAAGAGATCCACTATGGTGGTATACTTCTCCACTTGTAGTTTTCCTGCAAATTAATACCACACATCTTCCATCTAAACATCTCAAAGTACAAAATATTGATTAACAAACACTACCTAGGGATAGTGTAAGGTCATTACCCAGTTTGTGCAGGCGTGGGGGACAGACGAGGAACGAAGGACAGAAAAATGACTGCCCAAGTCCAACACTTCTATGGAGCAAAGAGCCCATCACACACAAGTTACCATCTACTCCCCTGGCTCTCCATTTCACAATAAATGTGAGAGCGCCTCTTTCACAACGAAAGAGGCTTTTCTTGCCTCTCTGCAATGAAGTATTTACTTAAGTACCTCAGCCTGTCTTTTTTACTACAGTCTTTTTTTACTATTTATCTTTCCAATTGAGGCACAAAGGAAACAAGAGCCTGGAGTCTGGTTTGCAGTGCGTGGCCACCGCTCCAGTAGCCCCAGAGCTCGGGAGCTGTGCTGTGGTAGGAAGCGTTGAAGACATTGAGCTAACAGGAACTCCCAGGCAAGAGAGCCCTCTGAGAGGGGCTGCTGTATGATTTTGAGGTTGACCACATCTTGTCTCAGTGGTATCTGTCATATGCTCAGACATAGCTCTCTAAAGATCAAAGAGCTGTTCTGAAAGCCGCCCTCTCCCCATTCCAATGCAACAACAGCGCTGACCGTTCATGTTCCTTGGACGCTGCCGCTCACGTGCAGTGTCGCACTCTCTGCAACAGCCACGTCTTATTCCTCCCCTACATGTAAGAGCTTAAACCGCTCAGAAACAGCTGTTCTGTGAACGTGTTGCCAAAATCTAACTTCAAGAGCAGAGCAGCCAAGTTCATCAGTTCTATTACAGAATACGTAATATCAAAGAGGCATTTTTCCTTGTAAGTCAGCACTAGAAAACAAAACATAGGCTTCAAGAGAGAGCTTTCTTGATCTGTTCTTGTAAAGTCAAGATTCAAGCACACTGTCAGACTGGCAGTATTAGAGAGTGATACATCTTGAGTTTACCTTACCTGGAACTCTGAAGCTTATGGATTTTTTGGTAAATGAGAAATTCTGATCTTTGTTCATAAACTGTCACTCAGTCATGTGTGTATTCCTGAGCTTTTCATAGCTGCTTATCCAAACTGGTCTCAGCTTTCTATGCACACACACAAGACTGCTCTCATTAAGAAGTTTTACTAAGTGAGAACATACATAAAGGAAGTGGCTAACATGTAGATTGTTTAGTGGAGGTTGGATACTAAATACTTGCAAAAATATAGGATTTATTTTTTAAAACTGATTTTCCTAGTTAACCACAGATTTACTTAATAGGTTCAGGTCTCTGTTGTAAGAATTATAGGTTCTGAATTCAAATGCAGTAATTTGCTTTTGCTAATGATGTATGTGAAAGCAATAATCATGAAAATTAGTTTTAGTGTTCTTACTGATTTTTAAGACAGGCATTTATGATCTTATTACACTTTTGGTCAATGGCTGTCATTTTTATTGTAACTTACCAGTTTAAACAATTTGTGTCATAATTATCTATATGTAATTCAATCCTACAGCTACTTTCCATTGCTTCTGTTGTTTATCCTCTCCCCAGATATACAACATTCACTGAAGGAAATGAAACTGATATGAAATTACATTATGGCTTGAAAAAAAATTGGCTAATAAGATATTTAAAGATTAGTTCAGCAATATGCCAGAAGCAGAATTCAAAATCACTGAATGCCATTTGATTTTCTGTAACCAACCCGTTAGAAGCTGCCCTGAAATGCCTCAGCAGTTGCAGCCTTTCACTTGAAGAGGCCGACGCATATTGACACACTGATGCTGAAACACAGGAGTAAGGGTTAAAGTAATGATTGATAAGTAGTTCATATTCACAGGAGCTTCCACTACTCCATTATTTATTTAGGAAGGAAAAAATTTAGTTCTTCAGACGATTAACATCCTGTAATGAAATAGGTTCTGCTATACGTTCCTGATCTGCCCTTATTCATTAGGCATTGACTACTATTATAACAATATTGAATTACTTTTTGCCTGAACTGCTCAATGAAAGTAATGGAAATGCGATGAAAACCCACTACTTGATCATGGGAAAGACAAATGAGTTCATGAAATTAATGTATCACTGATTAAAAAATAATGTTTTGAAAGACAAGAGGCATTGGAAAAGACCTATTTTATATCTTCCTTTTCACTCTTATAAAAAGAAAACACCTTAGAAGCTTACACAGAAAGTCTAAAAGTCTAAAAAAAAAAAAAAATCATTTTGTGTCTCTCTACTTAAACAATATTTACATAATTCAGAAATATCAGATTGTGGCAGAATATCCCACCGGGACATTATATATTTTGCATTTTTGTAACTTGTTCGAAGATTTAGCCTAATGGATGAGAATATATCAGAAAAATGCTATAAAATTGTAAAAGAGTATTTTGCTGACAAGTAAAAAAAGAGTATTTTGCTGACAAGGAAAAAAAATTAAGCCTAGGAAAAGTGATCAAAGTGCCAAATTAAAACTATTTTTACATATTAACCTATGTTAACGAAATAAATGCTTCTCTATTGTGTGGCCTGCGCAAAGGCCTGTATACCTCCTCTTTGCGAATCATGTAAAAAATTCATAAAGAATTAATGAAAAAAATATGCCCTTGGAATAACAACATACATTCAAGAAAAGAGTATTTATATTAGCGTTCGGGACTGTGTATGTTTAAGCAAGACGTATGTCAAGGTAGTTCCATATTTTGTTGGCATCATCTATCTGCCCATTCCAAGGATTCTTTGTGGCAGCAGAGTTCAGTTAACATCATCTTAGGGAAGCCTGAGGATGACGCATGCCACAAATTTTAGCCATTTCAAAATTAAGCAGTGGTTTAAATTAGAAGTCTAAACTCCCTCCACAATGAGTGACGAGAAAAGCAGCCTCAAAAGGTAACCTGCAAGTAGACACTACCTGCTGATTGCAATGACTGCACAGAAACCTGAAGGAGTAATTCAGAGCAGGTGCTTAGTTCCTAGATGATAAATACTAGGGGAAATTAAGGCTACTCTTAATATCAGCTGTAAATATAATTATCCACGTAATTCTGTATGCTCTACAGGTGGTAAAATAATAATTTGACAATAGGCATGGCAGTATTCTCTGTGCCCATTAGTTTTATTGTTTTCTGGTACTTAGAATGGAAGAAAATCCAGCTCACTCGTAAGCAAAAAGTCTGGACAGGCCAGCAGAACAAGAGCCAGACAAAAAAAAAGACAGTTGAACATGAGCATTGAAAATCTGGTTGCTAGCCAAAAATGCCAAAATTGTGCTCTCTAATGAATTTTGGGAGTGCAGGAAATGGACAGTTGCAGTACAGCAACTCTCTGCTGCAGTTAGGGTCGTACAACCCTCTCTGCTTAAGTTTCTTAAAAAAGCATTAACCTGAAAGGTAAAGATTGGATTCTGCCCTTGGAAAGAACAGAAACTTCTGTCAGAAACACCATATTCTGCCCTTACTTGGAAAGCTTTATCAATACTAACAGGCAAAATGGACTTTTATAGTCCTTCTAGCTCTAAACATTTCAGAGATTTGTAGAGAGTACACATATATTTTGTCGTTTCTGTTCTGAAAGCATTTTGTGATCGTTGCTGCAAATACAGAATATAATCATTGCAATAATGAGTGGTACAATAGACTGACAGATGAAAATGAACACAAGTAACACATGAAAAATAAATAAATTAGAGAGAACTAAAGACTTCATTTGAATTGTTAACTCTAACAAATGAAACAGCTTGCCATATAATAGCTGCTAGTTTAAATGTTCTTACTAAGAACCACTAACTCAGAATATTTTTATACAGTTTTTACAGAGAAAATTTAAGTTTACATTCTAAAATCACTCTCTAAATTCAGCACATATATTCTAATAATCTCTGAACAAACTGGACTAAATATGCTGCTGGCATTAATCCTCAACTTCACTGGATGAATCCCTTCCACTGTGAATAAATAATTTCATTTATTCCCATAGGAAACAAAGTAATTGAGATACAAACTGATTAATTTGCTTGGTCTAAGACTTTTGAAGATATTTCTTCTCATTAATTTTTATTTTTTGTCCTTAAATAACATAGATGACCTCTGAGAAACATATTTGTTCCTTCAATTTGAAAGCAAATACAGTAATTGTACTGACTCAATACAAAATTAAGAACATGAGTTTAAATGTAAACAATTCATTAAAATTACAAGAAACTTTTAGAACTTTAGAACAGTTCAAAACAAGTGCGGTTGAAAGGCTGACAGTCATAAACAAAGTCTCTCCTCTTTAAACCTATACAGTTGAATAGGAACAACTTTCTATAATATATACATCCATACACACACACATACATATGTGCATATATGTGCATATATGAATTAGTAATGAAAACTCATTTCATTCAGGATAGGCTTCATTTATTATCCATTTTAATTTAAATGCTGTAATATAAAATGTATTGTAAAAATAAGAGTG